AAAAACTAAGCTAATATGCTTTATTCTAAATTTAATTTAGATTCGAACTGCAGCAAACTCACCAGAAATGCCAGGGAACTTAGAGCCAGGTTTCAAGGTCAGATCTGGCCATTTATCAGGGTCCCAGGGCAATCTATTTTGCTAGCTTTTTATCCTATACCCTTATATAATTGTTCAGTTCAATTTGAAAGAACTAATTAGTTGAGACAATATTTTTTTGCAAACCAAAAATCATTATGATCAGGAATGATCAAGATTCTTGGTCTTTACACACAGCATGGCTGAAGCAGAGTCAAAAGTAGGTGAACTTTTTATGAAAATAATTTGTCTTCATATATTTGTCTTAAAATATACTGTATATTGAACTCCAGCATCACTTTTTTAATATATGGGAAAGCTGCCCAGAGGAAGCTTGGATCATTTTAGAAATCTGAATAAATAAAAGAATAACTTATATTACATAGGATGTTTTGTTAGGCATGTAATTATACAGAAAAAAATTGCTAATATCACACACCATTAAAGGGAAACTGTGACACCAGCGTCCATTAAAATGACCTGCTAAGCTACTGCCAAGTTCATGTAAGGTTTGCTTTTACCACCATGGTACAGAACTGTATATACAAGAGACTGATCTTACAGCAAATGTTGTGTTAATTGACATGTAGCTCTTTCTGTACCTCAACAAATAAACTTGACCTCTCTGACACTTGCATTTGCACAGTACAAATGCCAGTGATACCCAATGTCTACTAATTTATCTTCCGATTCCTTGTTGTCCCAATGCCATTAAATTCCTGGTATCTCAGTTACAGTGCTTTACTTAAGTGAGGAATTAGGTATTTTAGTACAGCAACCATGTAGGAAAACAGAGAAGCAGCTATGAGCTCAAAGCCATGGATATTACAGCCATGACAGAAGAAGATTGGCTAAGAACCAGGAAGTTTCATGGGCCCTATAACTTAATTCTAAACTGAGTCAATACTCAAGCGCAGGAGATTTAGGTTTTAACATTTGCAGAAAGCAGTCAGAAAATGTGACTTCTGCCAAGTTCTCCATACAGGCTGGTGATTTTAAAAGTATCCATGGAGAGATGCTTGTGGACAGTTTACTTTCAGTCGTATACATTTTTTATTCATTGAAGATTTTATTGGGCAAGTGGGAGGACAAGAGGGTGGCAGAGTGTGTATGCGTGCGTGCACTCCACAGTAAACAACTGTCTGTCTCTTTTACTGAACTAGCCAATTCTATACCAGAGAGCACACTAAACAGCTCCCTTGGTGGACTACTCACAACAATGAGCAAATGCGCCAGTCCTCATTTGCAAAACCAAATTGCTCATGGAGGGAAAATAGATGCTACCTTATATAATCCCCAGGCCGTTGTGAGGAAAACAATTTACTGCAAGGGAAATGGATCCTCGATAACTGCCACTGTGCATACATTTAGGTACAATAAAAGAAAGCTAAAGTGTAGTAATGTAGTTCAATTTTAGCATGTTACTGTGCTTTAGTTTCATGTGTTATACGGAAAGAGTATGTAATGTGGGCAGTTACTACAGTCAAAGCCATGCAGTAAAGACCCATCCCCTTTTACCCTATAGTAAATTGTTCAAATGTCCATAGCCTCTGGTATAGGATTTGCTTTTCCCCAGTCAAAGGTTATGGAGTTCCAACAGCTGTAACGTTGGCTCTATTTCAAGATATGGAGACCGGAGATCCCAGTTCAGGTCCAGATTCAGTTAACCAAAATGCTGGCTATGACATACATGCTCAGATTGGGATTCTCAAAGGAGCCTAAGGGAATACATTTCTTATGTAACATAACAATCATTTATCTAGAACTAACAGAGCTCCTCAGCTAACAGAAGAAATAATTTAAACCCAAATTAAAATTCAGAGTTGTGTTCTTAACCCTTTACAGTTTTATATAAAAGTCAGCATTAAAGCTTTTTTTGAAACACTGTCTAAGAAACGGATGGTTAGGCAGTATAAACCTATTAACGGTTAAAGAAAACTAATGGTGAGGGGACTTTTCTGGTACTATATTACTTATATAAGACTTGCTGTTCTCCAATTAAGTTAAATGGAAAACAGTTGTTTGAAGGAATATAGTAACATTAAAAAAAAGACATAGATGTCCCTATCTGTGCTACAAACATCTTGAATACTGACACAGAATTTTGTGATCTATAAGTCATTCTTTCAATCTTGTATTTTTTTTTTTTTAGTTTAGCCAGCACACCAGAGTAATCAGTTTTACTTTTGTTTGCTAACCATTTTACTTAGGTATTCACATATATTTCAGCATTTTCTTATTTTTGTTTTTGTAAACTTTTATGTTTTTACAAACTATAAATTTTGGGCTAAGTTTGACTTGCTGAACGTTACTTTAGCATTTAGTATTAAAATAAAGTTTAAAGTTTTCTTTAGAGTATTTCTAGAGCTTTTAAATATTGTGTCTAATATTTTAAACATTGTTATCCAACTTCTAGAAAACTAGAGTTAGAAAACAAATTTGCCATTTACTAAAAATACTAGTTTTCCAATGCACTTTGAGAAATTTGAACGGTAAATCTTTAAGGGTGGATTGCTATTAGTCTTTCTGCATCTAAAGAGCAGGTTTCTAGCTGCGCTTTTGCCATTTATGTGCAATTTTATACCATCCACAATTAAAAACATGTACAGGGAGAAGAATCAGAAAGATTCTTATTTGTGCTTGTGCCCATCATTTTACGTAGTGTTGCTAAGGGTGTTTAAAAATGGGATTCCAAAAAACTTAATCCAGTTATTGTGTATTCACTGTACAGTATGACTTTTCTTAATGCCATACTTCTTTATATGATTATATTAAGCTAAAAAAATAAAATGTTTTTCTAAATTTATTCTGTATAATTTTCTTTTGCTGCATATTTATCAAGGCTCTTCATGCTTTTATCCTTTGACAACTCCTGATGAATTTTCACATAATAATTATTTTT